AAGCAGAACTCCTCTCCCTGAATTGGTGTCTCCTCCCAGACTTCAGCCTTTGGAGCTTGTGCCCCTGGGGAAGGACAGGCCCGCGGGGAAGGCTGAGGCCGAGCCAGGAGCGGAACTGCCTCTGGCCCGCAGGGGCCTGCCGGCCTCTCTGCGGAGAAGTAGGGCAGAGAGAGGCCCAGGCCAACAGTGGGACACAGCAGGAGCTCTGCGGCTGGGCCTGAGCCCCGGGGGTGCCCACTGAACGTTGGTGAGATGGGTAGACGAGCGACACTTGTTAGGCTGGGGCATGTTCTCAGGGCCCCGGGAGAACCACCACCAGGCAGCCCAAGAGCTGGGCAGGATTTAGGAGGTTGTGCAGGCCTCCCCCAGTCTGTACCTGGGGAGACTGAGGCCCAGAAGAAGGGGGAGGACTTCCCCCTTCCCCCTAGCTGCTGCTAGGACATGGGCGCCACAACCCCTCTCACCACGAGGCCCTGGGGGCCACAGCCCAGGCTGGAGAAGCGGGGGCAAGAGGAGTGTTCCCAGAGTGGTGTCAGGGCTACTACTTTGGGGGGTGGGCAGGAGTGGGCTTCCTGAGGTTCTGGCCCGGCCCCAGCCCGCTCTGTGCCTGGCCTGTTGTCTCCTCTCCCTGACCCATCGCAACACCCTGGCCCCGCCGGATCATGCTCTTCACCCGTGTCCTGTGTCTCCCGCACCCCACCCTGTCCCTCTGGCTCTGTCTTCTCTCTTAGTTGCATACTTGAAGGACCGAAGGCTGAGTGGAGGAGCAGGTAGCCCCGTGGCCCCTCCCGATGCATGGACCCCTGCCCCAGTACCCCCCCCGCCCCCGCTCGTTCCTCTGTGTGGTGCTGCAGCTGGGCCTCGTCTTGCTGTGGTTTGGAACTTTCTTGTGTCCTGCTCGCCTCCAAAGCCCAAGAGAGTCCTGCTTTTTCACAGATCTGGGCCTAGTGGGCCGGCGTCCCACGTTCGGGCTCTGTTGTGGCCGGGGTTGAGAGCAGTCTGGCTTCTGGGGTGCCATGGGCCGCGTGGCTTTCCGAGCTCAGGCAGTTGGAACCAGAGCCTCAGAGAGAGAAAGCCCAGGCCTGGCCTTGGGAGCAAGGGTGTCCGGCCATGCCCGGGCTGGATGGGTGGCCGCTTGCGTTCGGGAAGGTGGCGTTCGCCCCCTGAGAGTCTTGCTCGTGAAAGTCTGAATACGGACGGGAACTGGGTTTAAAGCAGTCTGTGGCCTCCACGCCTTGTCCTCCTTGACAGAAGTAGTCCTGCTCCCCCGTCCCATCATCCTCTCGAGGGAGGCACCGTTGGAAACCTGTCCCATCCCCGCACCAGCTCAGGGGTCCGCAGTCAGACCGCCCTGCTCCGGCCGTAGCTCTGGCCAGCTGTCGTGAGATGGGTCCTGCTGGCCTCTGCGGGGCCCCCCGGCCCCCCGCCTCTCGGGCTCAGTCACTGGTGCTGGTGCTGCATGCCCCCGGCTTGACTGAGTAGATACCAGCGCCGCGGCTTGAGATGGGCCCCCGAGCCGTTGGAAGAGCGGGTCTTGCCGGCCGCTTCGCTTGCGTCAGTCCTTGTCCCGCCTGCCGGCCCCCAGCCCTGCCTGCCCGCCCTCACGCCCGCTCCCATCTCTGTCCACAGTGCCCTCAGCCAGCATGACCCGCCTCGCCCGCTCCCGTACCGCGTCGCTCACCAGTGCCAGCTCGGGGGATGGCAGCCGCCCGCCGGCCTGCACCCACTCGGAGAGCAGTGAGGGGCTGGGCCAGGTCAACCACACCATGGAGGTGTCCTGCTGAAGCCCGTGGCCCGGCAGAGACGCCCACCTGCCCCCGCCCGCGTCGACGTCCCACTGCCATCCTCGCGCCGGCTCATTTTCCTTGTAGTTTATTTTTGTGAAGGCCAAGGGGAGGAAATGGGTTTACTTCTCTTTTGTTAAAAAGGTGAGGGGGTTCATCTTAGATGCTGCAGAACAGTCTCCGGATGGTTTTGAGAGGCTCACTCCTCCCCACCCCACCTCACTCACCTTGCTAACTTGGCTGACTTAGACCCCCCCTTCCAACTCCCCACAGTCAGGGCGGGGTACAGGGAGGAAGGGGACTTGCTAAGGAGAGAGTTCGAGTCCTCTGGGCAGGATCCAGGATAATTTCCTAGACTGAAGAAAGCATGGGATGCCCCCCTTGCGCGGGCAGATTTGAAGATGGGATGGGGTTTTGAGGTGGTGTGCTGGGACAGCAGGGGCACAAGGTCCAGCTCAGGTACTGAGGTGACAAACCAGGAGGCAGCATTGGGGAGCACTAGGAGGCAGGAGCCCTGGAGCTCTCCAGGCCCGTTTTCTCCCCATCTCCTCCACCAAGCACATCTCTTTCTTTTTGCACATGTGACAATCATCTGAACGGTAGCCACAAGGGGGCGCTCCTACCAGGCAGCCGTTTTCCTGGTGCTCTCTGGGCTGGCCTGGTGATACAGGGCCAGGCAGGCAGGGACTGAACAGGGTTTCTCTGCCCAAGGAAGACAGAACACAGAGGACCTAAGAGGCAGGAACCCCGCAGACTGTCTCAGCCCACACACTCCACCACCTCCTGGCCTTGTCCCATGTCTGAGCCAAGGCCCTGTGGTAGAAAGTTGCCTGATCTTCTATCTCCACTGGGACCTGATTTGGGGGCTGAGCTTAAATGCTGGAATAGCCCGTGAGGGTTGGGCACACCCAAGAACCTCCTGGTGTCTGCCTTCAGGAGCCAGGATGTGGCTGGAGGCACTGGTGGCTGAGATTCCCAGTTCCATGGAGGACAACCCAATCAGCAGCTGTGTGTCCAAGGCCACCAGAAACATGGTGTTGTTTCTGGTCGTGGTCAAGCTATGCCAGTGTTTTCTGTGGGCATCACTAAGAAGAGAGTTTATTTGGAGAGAAATGGTCTAAGGTAGTGAGACTTCTTGCAGGCCCCCACTGCCATCTCAGGACCGCTGGAGTGGCTTGGGCTGGGGCTTGCTGGGTCCTGGGGTGGGAGGTGAAGGTTCCTGAAGTGAACAAGGGCCAGGCAGAGGAGAAAGGCTCTCCACACACCCTGGTCTCCTCCTTTCACCTGAAGCCCAGGACTGTGCCATACACATCCCACCCACCCACACTATCAGGGAGAATCTCCTGGCCCCAAAACCAGAGCCACTGGTCTTGGAGCCTAAATCAATTGCTAAACCCTGAAATGAGGGGAGAGAGCAATGAAAACTGCAGGGCTGCGGAGGGGACAGTTGTGTGTGAGGTGCTCTGAGGCTGCGTGGACACCTGCATCCATCTTTCCTTGGCACATATCACCCCCTTCTAGAATCTTAAGCCATTACTAGACTGCTCTAGAGCCTGGTGGAGTGTTAGTCTGTCCCCAGTTCTATTCACTCACGTGCTTCCTTTGAATATCAAATGTGACTGTTTGAAAAGCTGGTAGAATTAATCCCTCTTACTGTAGATAGCGCTGCAGACCTTGGATTTTTTTTTTCCTGTGTTCTTTCAGATGAGATCTCTATAAATATCTATACATTATATATATATATATGTACATTGGGTCTTCCTGCGTGTGGTTTTCCATAGGAGGTTGTCTCTTTGGTCAAAGTGAACTTTTAATGGAGTTTATTATTTTCCTTTCTGTATAAAGTGAAGAACCTAATTTTGTGTATTCTGGTGGCTGATGTCATGAAACTTTGAGATGACAAAATATAAAACAAATAAAAACCCTTGTCAAAGTAGAAAGAGCTAACTGTGCTGGCAAACTAATAAGGAAATGAAGAATAATTTGAGTATGGTGACGCCAGGCCCATCACAGGAAGCTTGTGGAGAAGGCCGCGTTGAGTTGGTGCTTCCTGGGTTTAGGTGGGACTGAGTGTGCAGGAGTTCCCATCCATGTTTTTGGTTTTTTTAATTTTTATTTTTTTAACTCTACCCCCAGCCTTGGGGCTTGAACTCAGGACCACCCGTTGGTTGATCGAGTCACATGCTCTAACAACTGAACCAGCCGGGTGCCCCACTTATTTCCATTTCTTAACACATTATCTTAACAATCCTTACATTTTTTTTTAAAGATAATATTTATTTGAGAGAGAGCATGGGCGGGGGAGGGGGGGAGGCAAAGGGAGAAGCAGGAGCTCGGCTGGGCGATCCCAGGACCCTAAGATCACGACCCCAGCTGAAGGCAGATGCTTCGCTGACTGAGCCACCCAGGTGCCCCACCAATCCTTACGTTAATTCCACAGGATATATATTATCTTAGTTTCACAGCTGAGAAAACGGAGCCTCAGGATAAGGGATTTGCCCTAAGAAGCCAAGCTAGGAGCTGGCTTTGGCATTGCAGGACTTCAAAACCCTGCTTCATTTTCTTAACAGCATGCTACTTTGCTATGTTTAACCACCATTTCTGACTCATTCACTCAATAAACACACATAGAGTACCTGCTATATGTCAACTAATAAAGCACGTAAATAAAAATAAAACCCACCATGTGCTATGCGAATGATGAAAAACAGGGATGTACTAGCGAGTGCGGGCAGAGGGGGGTTATTCCAGTTCTGGGAACCGTCCCATGCCCCTCGGAAACACAACCTGCCCCACGGCACTCCGAAACGCACGCGCGCGCACACCTCTGAGCAATAAAATGGTCCGATTACGCTGGCTAATGAGGGGTCGCGATCACGAAGGCAGGCTGCCCGCCCACCTGGGTGCGCTCACAGCCGGTCAGCCGGGAGGCCCGCGCGTTGGTATCCAGAACCTGAATTTTGTTCTTCACCTGGACTTCTACTCCGAAATGTCTCAGCCCTTGGGGACCAAAGGGGAGAGAGTTGAACCTTGCTCAGAACCAGGCTCGAGGCGGTACAGAGGTACGTCTCCCTGGCCCCGACCGCCCGTGTTCTAAACCCAGCTGGGGACCCCCGGGCTCCAGAAGAACGTTCTCAGGAGGAGTGATCTGACCAGGTGCAAACCCCGACTCGTTCTCCGCGTGGACCCCGGGACGCACGTCACGTGGCGCCGGGGCGGGGATATGAGCCCCGCCCCCGGCAGGCCTTTCCCGGGACGCCGGAAGCGCCGGCGCCGAGCTCCTGAGCCGCGGGGCCGCGCGGCCTCGGCAATGGCGACCCAGGCGAAGCGCCGGCGGGTAAGTCGCGGGGGACGGGAGCGGGGTCCGTCCGTTTCCTCCCCCCTACCCCGCCCGCACGGCGGTCCCGCGCCTCTCCTCCCTCGCTTGCGCGGGTCCCTGGCCGCCCTCCGCGTCCCCTCCCCCGCCCAGAGCCCTTCCTCCGCGCGCACCTCCGTCTCCTCCCGCGTCCCGCGCGTTCTCCGGGGCGGGCTCTCTCCGCGGCGCTCGCTCCTTCCAGGTGGCTGGGCCCGTGGGCGGTGGCGACGCGGACCCGGACCCGGTGGCCGGTTTCCTGAGCTGGTGCGGGCAGGTGGGGCTGGAGCTGAGTCCCAAGGTGAGGAGGCGGGGGGGCGGGCGGGCGCGGCGGGGGCGCAGGCCCGCTCTGACCGGCCGCTCCCCCGCCAGGTGGCGGTGAGCCGGCAGGGCACGGTGGCCGGCTACGGCATGGTGGCCCGGGAGAGCGTGCAGCCCGGGGAGCTGCTGTTCGCCGTGCCGCGGGCCGCGCTCCTGTCGCAGCACACCTGCTCCATCGGCGGCCTGCTGGAGCGAGGTGGGTGCGCCGGCGGGGATGGGGCGGGGAGGTGGGCCGCGCAGCGGCGCCGGGGTTTTCCCCGCCGTCCCGCCGTGTCTCTCACTTCCGTGTCTCCTTCAGAGCGAGGCGCGCTGCAGAGCCAGTCGGGCTGGGTGCCGCTGCTGCTGGCGCTGCTGCACGAGCTGCAGGCCCCGGCCTCGCCCTGGAGCCCCTACTTTGCGCTCTGGCCGGAGCTGGGCCGCTTGGAGCACCCCATGTTCTGGTGAGAGCCCTAGCAGGGGTGGGAGCACCAGCACCGGAGCCTGGTCGAAGCGTCTGGCCCGGCGACCGGGTTCCCAGGCACTAGCCCGATGGGGTGTGTGAAGGGAACCCGGGTGGGGTGTCACTGCAGGCCCGAGGAGGAGCGCCGGCGACTGCTGCAGGGCACAGGCGTACCGGAGGCCGTGGAGAAGGACTTGGCCAACATCCGCAGCGAGTACTATTCCATCGTGTTACCCTTCATGGAAGCCCACCCGGACCTCTTCAGCCCCAGGGTTCGCTCCCTGGAACTCTACCGCCAGCTCGTGGCTCTCGTGATGGCCTACAGGTCAGTGAGCAGAACCTTGAAGGACTTTGTTCTTTCGAACTCTATTGAGGGATGAGAGGGGAAAGAACAGTGAACCACACCCCAGTCTCTGACCCTACACTGGGCTTTAGCAAAGTTCTCTCTGTGGCAGCTTTCAGGAACCACTGGAGGAAGAGGAGGATGAGAAGGAGCCAAACTCCCCTTTGATGGTGCCTGCTGCAGACATACTAAACCACTTAGCCAATCATAATGCCAATCTAGAATACTCTCCAGTGAGTGGATCCCTCTCAGTTATTGTTCTTATGTGCACGGACGATCAGGCATTTGATTCAAACCAGTGCCTGTCATTTATGCTGGCCTGGTAGTTGGGCTAAGTGGGCTCCATTCTCCTCATGGTAAAAAAGCAGAGGTGAAGTCAGCTTTTCTTGTTATGTTCAGTTTGCATATTCCACTCAAATAGTTTGAACACAAAACCTCAATACCCACAAAGTAAGTTGTGGTTATTTCTCTGCTAAGCTACTGTCGACATTTATTTGGTGCCAGAGGTTGGCTATACGGTCACTACTTTTTGGGAAGAAGGGGGAGGAAAGGGGATGGTCATAGGTCAGATCTAAGATGATACCAGGGTTCTATCAATTCCATTTGCTAGGTGGAAAGTTGCAAGAAAAGATCAAGTTAATGGAATTAGGGAATGGCTATTTTTTAATCCTGGCCTGCATCTGCCGTTCCTACTTAGGGTTTAATTATTCATTTCTAAACGCTAGCAGCTTTTTAAGTACTAAGGATGACTGAGCAGAGGTTCACGTAATCAATGAGGCTGAACTTGACCTTTGTCTCACCTTTCATCCTACTGTACAGGCGTATTACACTTCAGATACTGTGCTTTTTACAAATAGGTTTGTGGCAACCCTGTGCTGAGCAAGTGTATCAGTGCCATTTTTCCAACACCACTTGCTTTATTATGTCTGTGTGTCTTATTTTGGGAAGAATTAAAATTGCAAGAATTGCAGTATTTCAAACGTTTCTATTACTGTATTTGTTTTGGTGATCTGATCAGTAATTACAACTCACAGAAAGCTCAGATGGTGGTTAGCACCATTTAGCAAAAAAAAGCTGTTTTCTAAGATAAGTACATTTTTATAGACACTGGGACTTTTTTTTTTTTTTTAACAGTATTTGCTTTTTTGTGTGTGGTGGTGTGGATCTAAACCTACACACAATCTCTGAGGTATGGCTATATAGGATCTTAATAGGATCTAAAAGTAAAATGTTCGTAGGTATATCCTCAGTCCCATTGCTGAACTGTACCCACTGGAAAGCTCTTCCTAAGAGGGAATTAATCTTCATGGGGCTGGCCAGGCATTTGTTGGGCCTGGTCCCAGCTTCTTCCTTCCACCCCAGAATTGTCTTCGGATGGTGGCCACTCAGCCCATTCCTAAAGGCCATGAAATTTTCAACACTTACGGGCAAATGGCTAATTGGCAGCTGATTCATATGTATGGTTTTGTTGAACCATATCCTGACAACACGGATGACACAGCTGACATTCAGATGGTGACAGTTCGTGAAGCAGCATTACAGGGTGAGTGTCTGATCCAATCTTGGACACCAGTGGACATGTCTCTATCCCCACCCCAGGTGCTCTTAAATAGCAGTTGCCCCGTTTTCTGGAGCCCGGGTAGTAGACTAAGAAGAAAGGAACCGCTGGGTATATGCAGACTTTGACACTATTACTATCTACAGGAACAAAAGCTGAAGCTGAAAGGCTCCTACTGTATGAACGCTGGGATTTCTTATGCAAACTGGAGATGGTTGGGGAAGAGGGAGCCTTTGTGATTGGGCGTGAGGAGGTACTGACTGAAGAGGAACTGACCAGCACACTCAAGGTAAAGGGCTGAGAATGGCCCAAGTATTTAGAACTAGATAAAGCCAAATGAGAAAGGAAACCTGGGATGGAGGGAGAGCACACTTAAATGCTGCCAAGATAGGCTTCTCTAAATTCAGAAATTCATAATTAAAGGGCAATTAAATTCCTAATTGAAAGGCCCAATGATTGCTTCTAGGTCCTATGCATGCCTGCTGAGGAGTTCAGAGAGTTTAAAGAGAAGGATGGATGGGGAGATAATAAAAGGGAAGAGGACAGCTTGACAATCACAAATATCCCCAATCTCAAAGCATCATGGAAACAGCTTCTTCGGGACAGTGTTTTGTTGACCCTGCAAACCTATGCCACAGACTTAAAATCTGAACAAGATTTACTCAGTAACAAGGAGGTCTACACCAAACTCAGCTGGAGGGAGCAGCAGGCCCTGCAGGTTCGCTATGGTCAGAAGATGATCTTACATCAGTTGTTGGAACTGACAAGTTAGCAGGTTCCGTGTTGCGTGAAGGAACATCGATAAGAACTTTAATATCATCAGAGGTGGTGTGCTAGGGTTAACTCAAAGGTGAGGGTGAACTGTTTAAAGACTGGGCACAGCAGACTTGGAAACTGCTGGCGGTTTACTAAGACCAATAAATCTTAAAACTGCTTTGTTGTTTGAACCAGAGTTAGCAGAAATGTGATAGTATTAAGGTCTTCGTTGGAGTCTAGCATTTAATAACATGGACTCTGAAAGGAGACCTGGGTCTATTTTGAGCAAGCTTTTTTCCAAGACTTAGTTTCCTGTTCGAGGGTTTGACGAGCTCTGGTCCTGGCACTCAGCAGTCTGAAGTTTGCTCTAGGTGGCACAAAACTCACCCTTAAGGGAAGAAACCCTAAGACACCAATGACATTCAAACCTTACTTGTTAAAATTTCTATTTAATCTTGAACCTTTTTGTCCTCTGTGGCCATAAAACTTGACAATCATTAAAGGTAAGGTGTATTTTAAGTGGCATAAATTTTAAGTATATCAAAATACCATGAAGAGAAAGGGTAAGAAATAGGTTTTGTAATTCTTTAACCAAAGAAACCTGCTCCAGTGATTTTTCTATTGTTGAAACATGCCAGATTAGCGGGAAAGATCAATCATTCAGCAAGAAGTGATGTTTCCCAATGGCCCCAGGCTCTGTGAGACTGGGTTGTCCACTTTTCCTCCTCACCACCAGCACTGGCTGCTGCTACTGAGAAAGGCACAGTGGACTCACGTGTGTGTCATGACTTTAATGTAGACTACAGTATGCATACACATACAAGTAAGGGAACTAGAGCCCAGGACTAGAAAGGCTACAAAATACAACACATGGACCAATACATTTACAAAACATTCAAAATCCTTACAAAAGGGGCTGTATTGGTCCTTTTGACTTTGTTGTTCAAAATAGCCTACATGGCTATTCACTGGGATGATGGGGAAGGGCAATTCATACAGTATTAGTCCCCTTTCCCACAATTTGTAAGTATGAGGAGAGAGCTAGGGGCACTTTTAGGCATGGTCTGGTTTCCCTTTATAAAAAGAGCTGACTGCATCTCGGGGCCTAAGGGGGTAGTTCTCCAGTAGAAATGAGAAAATGATGCTCTCCCAGCAGTCAGCTTTAGATTAGGGGAAGAGGCAAAACAAAAATCCATGGGATCTCAATTGTGAGCTCTTCCCATGTTCCCTAAGCATACCAAATAGTAGCACATACACACATTTAACAACTTTATGATTTTCAGGGTCCCCTGTTCACATTAAAAAAATAAGTTACACAATATTTAAACTGGCTTTTTTTGCTATTCTTTGGGACACCAGGAATGTCAGAAGACATGGAGCTATGTTATATCCCCAGACAAGTGCATGGCATCAACAGCCTTTCCGTTACAAGCTGGGTAGGTACCAAATTTATCTACTTGCCTTGGACACATTTTGCACAAACCCAAGAAGTTGCAGACAAAGGTTTTATCTTTCATATATTTACACAAGTTCAAAATGATATTCACAGCATCTTCTAAATTTTGGCCAAGTCAAAAAAAATGCATTTAAACTTTGGAACGTGCCCACATACACAGGAAGCTGACCCAAACAGTAATTGGGGCAGGTACCCGAGAACCAAAGGGCTGGGAAAGTCAGGAAGAGCTGAAAGGATTCTTCAGCCAGTTTATAAACCTGGTGCAGTGGGACCTCCAGGCTGACACATTTTACAGCAGAGATGCAGTTCCATCTAACTGGCACCTGTCCCTTCCATTACTTGCTGAGCCTGCTTCTGTCCCATGCAGCACTGTGCAACCGACTGGAATAACCTGAAGAACAGAGACAGTCACAAGTTTGTGAGAAAAATTTCAGACCTGGCAGTACCTTGGGTCACATTAGCTTTGGCTATCATTACCTTCTTAATCACCCATATGTTTCTCATTCTTAGACAATTAAAAAATTACTTTGAACTCACTTTTCAATTTCTGGGGCACAGTGTACAAACTCGTGGTTCCAGAACTTAAACGCTGGATTTTTAATCAGTTCAATGAAGGTAATAAGAAGACCCCAAGGATGTGGCCTATTTACAATCAACCGTTCCAAGAGAACCCTGAAGGGGAAAAAAGGTTCGTTAATGCATAGAAAAATCTACGAATTTATGACCACTTCTCCTTTACCTTTTTTCCTTGATTACTAAACTACATGCAAAAGTTACCAGCTTTACTAAGGACAGTTGGGTTAACGTCTACACAGACACACACACACACACACACACCATGGTTAATGCAGGTGGTTTCTGAAATTAAAAAACCTGGGTTTGAATCCTGCCTCTTCCCGTTAGCCTAGAAGACTGAGTTAAGGTAAAGTAAGGATGACAGTGTCAGATTTAAAGTCTGGCCCACTTTTTAAAATGTGTGAATCTCTCTCTCACCAGAATCTACCCATTGCCCAATCTCCAATGCTATATAGACAGTCTAAGCAATCTGCAACATATTACATCAAAAAAGGAAAGAAAAAAAAAAAACCCCACAAGTATCATCTTGTTATTTCTCCTTCAAACTTCTCAATCTAGAAGATAAAGAAAAGCCCAAGCTCTTTACCATGGCTTTTAATAGGCCTGTGTGGATTCAGGACTCTGGATAAAAAATGTCATCACCACCACCACCTGAGAGAAACTGTTGACTTTCAATCAAAACGCTGGTACCTTTTGTTAAAAACAAGTTGTAATTCTCTACTTGTCATTTTGTGTCCATCAGACTAAATTGCTAGGGCAGGAACAATGTCCATTTTGCTCACAACTACATCCTATTTAACACATGTAAAAGATGTCTTAAATGGACATGTCGAAGATACTCCATGAACACTGAAAAAAAAATTCATAATAAAGGGGAAGAGGCACCACTTAGAATTATCTAAAAAACTTCTCCCTTACCTTGTAATCTGTTCTTGGATAGCTTCAGTGTTGGCTTCTGCAAAAAGGTACAGCATGGTACAGCTGAAGTAGTGAGTGTGGCTATTTGGGTACCGCAGCTGATTTGCAATGGCATTCAGAAAGAGATACCGACCTAGAAATTGAGAAAGCGCAGTTTACTGCAGACATGCTTCATGTGAAAGGCCAACGTAAAAAGACAAATCATTCTAAGAGGCTAGAGACTCCGTATCCTTTAGTTTCAACCAGTGGCTCTTGGGTCCCCAGTGTTTCCATTTCTGGTGTGTGTGTGTGTGTGTGTTGGGGGGGGAGGGGGAGGGGGGTATTTTCCACTTTTTAAAAAAATATTTAAAAACAGACCCAATGCATGTAAGCATTTTTCAGAAAAAAAAGTATCATTTTTAATTTCAGATTCTTTAATGTCACTTAATAGGAGAGAGCTGGATTCTTCTGCACTGTGTTCAATGTGTTCCACTATTATGTTTCATGTAGCCCCTGGAAAACTCCACTGTACAGTCATGACAACATGAGTGCAAACACACACACAGTCATTACTGTGAAAGTAGTTTTGACCTCACAGCTCTTCTGAAAAGGTCTTGGGGACATCCCCCGGGCTTCCAGTCCACACTCTGAGAACTGCTAGTTGAGACTGTATTTGAATAAATACCTACAGTAACTAGGTCTAGTTGTCTGCCTCTGCTTGATATTACTCATGTTTGTAAGGCTACTCTCCCCCGCCTTTTTTTTTTGTTGGGTTCTGGATGTAATGGTATTCAGTCTTGTTAAATCTTGACTTTACACTGTCTCAAATCCCTTCTACAAATAGACAAGTGTATGTATATCAAGATTAACTATCCTCTCAAGAATTGTTAGCAAAGTTAAAAGGCATCCTTTTTAAAGTTGGTGTGTGTTAAGGGCACCTGGGTGGCTCAGATGGTAAGGCACGGTCCAACTCTTGAGTTCAAGCCCCCTATTGGGCTCGAGCCTACTTTTTAAAAAGCCTTTTTTTTTTTTTTAAATAAAGTACTTGTGTGTTAAAATAAGCAAGACTATGTAGTTGGTTAGTACCTACTGGGGTCTAAGAATGAATATAGAAGACCAAAAGAAATGTGATTCGACCAGGTAAGACGCAACCTATAGGAAGAATTACACTGTCAACTTTCTGCAAAGCAGGTTAAGTAAAGTCCTATCCATTAATTTTTACATACCTAATATTTAACAAGTTGCCTGACAAATGCTGGGGGAAAGGCAGGCTAACAAAACACTGTAAGATAAGCTTATTTTTAAAGAGCGGCTAGTAAAAGGAACATGTTTATTTTCACACTAAAAAAAATACTATAATCATATACACTGCAATACTAGTAATGTGGTAAGGATTCTGGGTCTGTCTTTCCATTTTTCCAAAAGTTTTGCATTAAGCAGATACTATACAATTAAAGATAAAATAGCCAGCAGAGAAAGACAAATAGCATAGGATTTCACTCCTATGTGAAATTTAAGAAAACAAGCAAAGGAAAAAAATCAGAGTCAAAGCAAGAAACAGACTTTTAATTACAGGGAACAGTCTGATGGTTACCGGGGGTGGGGGTGGATTAAATAGGTGATGGAAATCAAGGAGTGTGACCACCGGGTGATGTATGGAACTGCTGAATTACTGTATTGTACACATGAAACTGATGTTAACACTGTGATAACTGGGATTAAAATAAAAATTAAAAAACAAAATAGAGCCATAAACATACTGATAAAGTAACTGTCTATTGTGGCTTAAAATATTTTTATGATCAAACTGTGGTGCAGAAAACTTAGAATTGGCTGGCTTTACTCACCTTCAGTGTCCAAGTCCACAGCCAGGTTCTGGAAGATGTCCATGTGAGCCGAGTGGGTGATCGTGCTCATTGATGGCGTGCTACCCTTGTTGTGGATGTGTGCAATGGCCTGAGTCCCTACATAGAGCACCAGTGCATTGATGAGCTGGAGGTTATAACGATTGCCAGGCTCATTGGATACCTAAATGAACAAAACAAAGCTGCTTATTTTCACAGAGGATTCAGTATTTCTAAGCCCATTTTATGCCTTCACAGAAAAGCTGAAACTGCTCTCAACACTTGTGATTTAAATTTTAGCAATCTGCTTTACTTTGTGATTTGCTGAACAAATACACAGCAGCCTAAGGGTGGTTGGGTCAGTAACAGAAACATGATTTCCCTTTGGAAGCCAAAGCTTTAACAGGTACCAGGAAAAAAGTAAAGTTTGTGAAATCAGACTCTGCATTATCTCAACTATATAAAAATATTTGGAAGGGCACCTGGCTGGTTCAGTCGGTGGAGTGTGGGACTCTTGATAATGGGGTTGTGAGTTTGAGCCCCACACTGGGTATGGAGATTAATGAAATCTTAGGAAAAAATATTTGGAGAGGGGAAAAAGTAGTTCTCTGGTGTGGAAAGACTGGAAAGATAACACGACTTCAAGTCCTCTTCTGTACAGCAAACTAAACCAGAATCCATTTAGAACAATCTTGGGAGGACTGACAGGGACCGATTATCAGTATTATTCTTACAGAAAATGAGCCTATTCCCTGGTTACCTCTTTCAAGGCAATAGCTTTGTGTCAGTGAGAAGATGAACTAGTAAAATGCATAATCCAGTTAATGTCATCCAACCATTAAACACTATGTTTTAAAATTTTTAAATCCAGTTGAAAACACTAACTCCCAGGGGTGCCTGATTGGCTTAGTCAGTTAAGTGTCTACCTTCAGCTCGGGTCATGATCCCAGGATCCTGGGATCGAGTCCCCCATTGGGATCCCCGCTCAGCTGGGAGTCTGCTTCTCCCTCTCCCTTTGTCCCTCCCCCCTGCTCATGCTCTTTCTCTCTCTCTCTCTCTCAAATAAATAAAATCTTTAAAAAGAAAAAAGAAAACACTAATTCCCAAATAGGCCACCCACAGGACTATGCATACCAAATGCTTTCTATGAAAGACACAGCTAAAAGTTTAAATCAAACCAGTTAACCTGTAGGTTGCTTCGCAAATCAGACAGAAAAGTGACCGGTGATCGAGTTTTAAGATAGGAATCCAAATCCTTTTTGAACTGAGGTGGCATCACTCCAGTAAAATTGGTAAGAATCCGGGGTGCAATGTTAATTTCACTCAACATATCCACCTGCCACAGACAGATACAATAATCAAAACCAGAAGTATATGTAGAAGTTAACAGCAAATTCTTTCTCTCTACCTTAAAAAGTGGTAGATTCTTTTCCAAAAACTGCACACTGTAAATGTCTTGATGAGAGCTGCCACTTTTTATTAATCTTTAAAGAATCTTATCTCCAAAATGATAGGAATCTCTCATTCTGTAATAAATTATCTAAGAAAAATTATCTTTCTAAATTAAGGCAGGATAGGTACCTTTTGTGAAGAGGTCTAATGTATACCACTGAATTTCAAAAAAAGAGTACAGAGGAGATTCTGCACACCAAGAGCTCTAGTCTTTGAAAAGATGCCCCAGCAGAACAGAATATCATAGCTGCTACTTAAAAAAAAAAAGGGGGGGGGGATGTGAAATAAAGAGTACAAAATACGTAAAAATTAGAGTAGCCACATCAGGGCTATACACATAAAAAACACCTTTGAAATAGTATTACAAAGATCTGTTCTACAACTCTGTGCCATCAGGGCCATCCTGCAAATAACTGGTTCAACACCTCAATTGAGGTTTTGTAAAAATAAATTTACTATCAAGATTAACTGAAAACAGCAGCTAGGCAAATACTGTGAACTAATATTCAGCAGGCTTAATAACATGATCTCCCCCCGCAAAAGAGCATCCTCACCTAACAACTTGTGTGTGTGCGTGTGCACGTGCCGGGTAGAGACGGGTTAAATAGGTCTACCATTAGAGAAAGGATTCAAATACTAAGACATAACTTTCTTTTCCTTGAACTGTTTGGAACTTTACCTTCAGATTAGGAGTGAATGGGTCTGGGAGCCTCATATTTCTTGGGAAGGCACTCAGGATGAGATTTCTTAGCTGAATACAATTAGGTGGGATCACATCACAGAATCCGTAATGGTAATCACAAAGGAACTCAGGGAAATCATGCAAAAGAACCAGCAGCACTCTCAAAGTGCCCTGTTTTTAAAAAACGAGAAAAACATTGGCTGTTTTCCACACAAAATTAGGAAATGAGAGTAACTTTTATACTATTATGAATGTAACTTAAGTAAAACTTAAGTTACAAATTACAGGTTTTTTACCAAAATATTTACATCTGGAAATCACCAAAAACTAGCTTTGGGGAGTTTATACCTTAAATGTGTATGCTGTAAGAGGCTGGCAAATATTAACTAATTAATTAAAAGACATAAGGTTCTGATTTCAGAAGCTGGAAAAAACAGCTTATGAAAACCAAGAAAGTAAAAGAGCCAAAATCAATTACATGTTTTAAAAAGTACTGAAGGAGGGCAAATCAAAGCTGATTCTTTGAAAAGATTAAAATCCAGGCCTAGATGGCTTTACTGGCAAGATCTTCATTATAAATATTTAAGGAAAAATGAATACAATTTTCACGATCTCAAAAATAAATTTAAAAAGAGAATTTTTTCCAACTCTTTTAATGAGATTTGCATACTCTTGGTACCAAAACTTGATGTGTGTGAAAAATCACACAAAAATCGTAAATATTAGAAATAGAAATCACAGTGATCCCATTTAATGATTTTTAAAACTCAACAAATTATGAATAGAAGGGCATTTCCTTATTCAGATAATGGTATCCAGATTTATAAAAACATTATACTTAATGGTGAATTACTAAAAATCATTAAGAGACTATCTTCTACTCACTGCACTGGAGTTACTGGCCACTGCAATAAGGCAAGTGAAAGTAAAACAAAAGCCCACTGTTATTATGTAAATACTGTGAAATACTTCTCAGGATACCTAGGCGGCTCAGTCAGTTAAGCCTCCGCCTTCAGCTAAGGTTATGATCCCAGAGTCCTGGGA